ATTACTTCTTTGAGTAGAGACCGTGAATTCCTCATTATGATTGCATCTATTCTAGCAGTCCGCAGTTAGTTGTTGAGCTAATGTTCCGATGCACCTTTCAGTTATGATTTACCAGAGTAATAATCTTTCCAACAACTTACCATTGCTTAAAAGCGTATCGGATACATAGATATCCACACTGGCATTGGCAGTGGGAATTGCGGGTAGTTCATGGGTGACTTTCCATGGTCCTGCTGCTCCTGTCTTCACATTGGCAAGTTGAACAAGTGCTGCAGGAAATCAAACACACATGCACACACACACACACACACACACACACACACACACACACACACACACACACACACTTGTACTTGCTCACTGCCAAAACTGGTCACGTGGGTCTCCCCGGGAGAGGGGAGAGAGATTCAAAAGGAATCTTGGAAAGATGACTCAATTGGCCATTGAACCACCCAACGGCCGACACCCCCTGAAATCCCCAAACTAGGGTGGACTTGAAATGATCCCACTTATGGGCTCACCACACCTCAGTAAGTGGGTGAGGACAAGGTGCAGAAAAAGGATTGACGGCATCAGGGTATCCGTCCCGGGATCCAACTGCAGGTACCCCTGCCCCCAGTGAAGGTAATACTTGGTACTAGTGTGGGTGGCTAGATCAGAGTGGATCTGATATAAGCTTCACTAGCACCATTGATCACACAAGAGTTAATCTAGCCAGAAGCAGTCCATGGTTAAGAGGTATGTATACTTCAAACAGAAAGTATATGAACCCTGAAACCAACAAAGGTGGTAGGTACAACAATACACCTTCAAGCAGCCGAGCCCGTTGGCAACAGGCCCAACACTATCTGGCATAAGTGCACCCACCAACCGAACTAGCTGGCACACACACACACACACACACACACACACACACACACGCCTTTCAAATAACAAGTATAGTGGAAACGCAAAAGGTGGGTATACGAAAGGGGTCAAATTTCGCCCGCAAGCTCTCCAGTTTCAGAGCGGATCAGCATCCTGTAGGTATGCATATGGTGCATGTCATATCCGACACATTGGATTGATTCACGGGGAAAGGTGATTTCCATAGTTTGTAACACAAACACATGTGATAGATTAGAACACTAACAAACACATGTGATAGATTAGAACACTAACAAACACATGTGATAGATTAGAACACTAACAAACACATGTGATAGATTAGAATACTAATGACGACTGGTTGATATTGCCAATGCACGGTGCCACATCATATCGTAATTCACAGTATTCCGAGTACTCACCCCGTACAACCAAGCCACCGTCCACAGTACTGGATCCGGAGGACAGAGCAAACTTGGCAGTCACATTTCCAAATATCGACACCGTCGTATTTTCTGTGTAATCATAACATACAGACACACAGCATACATTTCTGAATGCAAGGGTTGCCAGCAGATACACAGTCGACTCCTGATATAACGAACACCGTTTTGCAAGAGAATCAGTTCTTTATAGCGGCTAAGCTAAAGTTCGTTTCAACAGAAATTCACTTGCACTAAACAGGCAGCAAGTCATGACTGACGTGTGGGCCACGACTGTATGAGTGCACTTGGTTTACATCATCAGTGCAGCCCCCCAAAATATGGTTCGATACAAAGGGTCAAGTTTGTATGGGTTCGAACTGGGACATGGACAAAGGTTTGCTATAATTATCATGAAATTCTCTATAATTACTACCTCCGACAAGCGAAACTTGGCGCGTTTTTTTACTTCAAATTACGAGAAATAAATCACACTTTACAATCAAAACTAATGATTGACTCACCAAAATTCAACTTGGTATTGCTCAACAAGGACATAAGAGACATCTGCTCGGCTGAATCACTCTCCTCTGATTCAGAGATCGCAGTTTTGTCTGGAGAGGAGTTGTTCCTGTTTGGAGACGAAAGTGCGACAAGAGCGGATTCAGTTGCAGCAAGTACCTCTGTTGTGATCGCTCTGAAAATTTCTATGTCGCTCCTGTGTGCTGTGCTCGAGCCACGGTGTCGGAAGGGTAGTCGTTTCCGCCGCCACTATCCAGGTTGACATTGTAAGAACTGTGCAACACCTCCACAAGCGCCTGGACTCCAACTGTTTTGCCGGGTATTCTCGCCAACTGTCCAAAATTGCCTGCAGCAATTCCTGGCGATTTTCCTTAGCCACCAGAGACGCATCGCTCTAGTGGCTATTGAAAGACGCTAGGATTGTTTGGCATGGACGTATGGACTCTGTGCTGGCGGAGTGACCAAGTGGAGAGAGAGAGAACTCCTTGGTTTTCCATTGCAACGCGAAAGCACGACGATTCTCCTTCGCAGAATGGACGCGCGCACTGTTTTGCTGGTACACGAGAGACTGGCTTGCCTCTGACTGAGTCTGAGCCATGTGCCACTCACCAGCTCGTCGCTTGGCTTCCTGCACCCGGTTGCATGGAGGTACAAGTAGGTCGTACCTCACAGCCTTGTGAAGTTGTGGTACCAACCCAAAAAAATCAACAAAAAAACGCGCCAAGTTTCGCTTGTCGGAGGTAGTATGCGAGTTTGTTATAAGTGGAGTCGATTGTATTTGAGAACATTACTTTTTCCGAGGCTATACCGTCACTGGAAACACCCAGCCATTTACTTGTATACGTTAAAACTGTACCTACAAAACGCCTGCAGTCTGGCACACAGTGTATTGTGAGAGAAGTCTTCTTCAACAACTTACTGATCAATTCCATCACAGTGTGTGTAATCTTGGGCCCAAGCTCAGCCATCGCATGCTCAGCACCAGACTTGATCTTAGCCATGTTCTTGTTGATCTCATCACGGAACTTGCTGCACAGGTTGGTGGATATGCTGATGTTGACACTAGGCTTGACAACCGTCACCTGTACATGCATAGAGGGGAGCAAGTGAGCAAGTGCGCAACAACAACAACAACAACACCATGTCCATATATTGTGCACACGAATACACACTGATCCATGTTTGCGCATGCACACGCATACTGTAGTACGGGAGTACTTGTAATGAAATCAACTGAAATCAACTGAAATCAACTGAAATCGACTGAAATCGACTGAAATCGACTGAAATAGACTGACATAAACTGACATAGACTGACATAAACTGAAATGAAGTCAAAAAATCTACTGAAACCGACTGAAATAAACTCGGCCCTTTGCCAATATGGTACAATGGGTAGTGCTTCAAGAATATCATATCAAGTATGGAGAAGGTACTAACAGTTAGAAATCTTCAATGGAATGGTTAGAATGAGGGAAAAAGTGTGTTTTGCTTGGAGTGATGTTGCCAAAGTTGGAACAATAGGCCGATGTTCAGCTTGTGGAGCAGATAGAAAGGGAGGGTTGCATCTCGAGTAGGTGAGATTACAAGATGCGGTAATCTGAACTTCAAATGGATTTCATAGACAGTCTGGGAGCGTGTCTTCGATGTCTGTATCCTGGATTGGACCACCATAACCCTGGTCTAGCAAATGATAGACTGAACCCCCTCCCCCGAAAAACACACACACACGTATACATGCGTAACTGACTTACATTGACTCCATGAACAGCTAGCGTCAGTGAAAATGACCTGCAGTGTAAGAAACAGAGGACAAGAAAACAAAACTAACTTTGAGAGCCCACTTATTTCCAGTCCAAGCCTTGCAGCACCAAAACAATAGCAGTCAAAGTAAAGCAGGGGGCAATGAAACACAAACTAGTGTGCCATCTATATATATTATCACCTTTACTGACAACTAGCAAGCATCTGCTTCACAGACCAGTCTACAGTACACGCTCAGTTGAATCTAGATTACATTCACTGTAAGAACATCCATGCCAGGCTTAGCCTGTCAACCCCATATTCTTACAACTTGATCTCGATACTACTGTTAAAGATAATGCATGCTCTGGCTCATTCAGTTTCAGTGTGCTAGTGAGTGCCATTACAAGAACTGATACCGAGAACTGTAGCGAGCATGTCCATGCTTTAATTAACAAAGGTATGAATACCATATTCTACGAATTCACTTTCAGTAGAGAAGGGAAGAGGAATAAGGGATAAGTTTGTAGTACCACTTCCACCTGTAGAAACAGATGTGCAGACCGTGTAGACTTACACTGCTGTTTTCAGTGAGAACGTTCCCTTGCAGTCGAACAGCGTAGAGCAAGCATGTTTGGAGAATGGATCATCATGCAGACACAGTCGATAGGATCCTGCAGCAGTTAGTGATGCACTGCCATCTATCAGCATTCCTGTAGCACTGGATGATGTCTGTGCAGCAGTATCATAAGACAAGCATGACATCATAGTAACCATTGTGATGACATCATAGCCACCACCATGGTGACATCATAGCCACCAGAAAGATGAGTCAGGCTGATTCAGGCAGAACATGGGCACCAGAGATACAGAACACTCAGAAGGTCTTCACCTGTCTTCACCTGTCTTCACCTGTCTAGACCACTGAATGCTAGGGTCCCTAATACTAGTAGTAACTACAATGCTGGCAACTGAAATCCGACCCCCTGGGCGGCGCGCCGGATTTCAGTTGCCAGCACTGTATTATCATAGACACAGTGAACACGTTCATACGGATATACATGGATACATGCACACACCGGCAACAACACACAGACCTATACGCATGGACACACACAAACACAGACCGACGTACACACACACACACATATTCTTAGCACACAGGCATTCACTCACCTTTGCCGTGAGTTCATGCAAAGCAGCTTTGATCCCCTGCATGTTGAGATGCACATGACTAGCACCCACATCATCGTAGCTGCAACACACACACACACACACACACACACACACACACACACACACACACACACACGCACACACACACACACACACACACACAGAACAATGAGACGGATCATTGCTGAGGCTGAATACCTCTCCAGTGGAGTTTATACATGTTACTCAAGTACATCATCAGTTGAGTTGAGACGCTTTGGCAAAGTCGCGCACAATGCTGCACTAGTACTCAATCTGTATAAACAGCACCCATAAGCCGTTCCGCCGACTCACCACCATGCCATTATTTTCACCTATAAGCTAGTGCCGAGTCGGGTAGCATTTTCTTCGGGTAGTTTTCCACGGGTAGCACGGGTACCCTATCGGGTAACGTTTCCATGGTAACACCACAATGTATCCCTTCCCTTACACACTGGGTAGAACACACACACGCACGGGTACCCTATCGGGTAATGTTTCCATGGTAACACCACAATGCATCCCTTCCCTTACACACTGGGTAGACATGCGGAGTATTTGTCATGTGCACTGTACATGATGCAATCTGCGACTTCGGGTTTTCGGGTACTATTCTGTACGCACGAGTACCTGACTACCCGTACACACCACTACTCTACACTGTGGCACGTGCATTCATTCCGTAGTCCATCCATATTATCGTGGGATCTTCAGGCTTCAGGTTTGTGACTTCCCCATTCATACAGAGTTGTTCAGTTTTGCACTACATACATATACATTCAGCCTCACCAGCATGTTATGGCAGGGTACTTGGCAACTTCTGCAATAATTGTAGGGAGCAGTGCTTCGATTTCTGCATTTATCAGCGCAGCCGGGACCACCACCTGCACGTTCGCACCATCCTGAATTTCGCAAATTACCGGACGACTTCCCAGGACTGTCAAACAGCCGACAATACCTAGCAAATGGTTGATATTCATACTGGAAGTCTATCCCGGACAGCTCGTTGCAGCTGTGCTACAAATGTAGTCTTGCACGAAAGTCTTGTATGAAAAGAGAGAGAGAACAACAGTCTAGCTAGCTGGTGCAAAGGAAGCAGAGACGATGGCAAACGCTAGGTATCGGGCACACCAACTAATCCAATCATGTCCTTGTGTATCATGGTGTGCCGATGCCGGCGATATCAGGTGACGGCCATGCACCAAATCAAATGATCGGTGGGCCTCTCTGACCTGATAATGATAATGGGCAGTCATGATGCCATGACAACGATCAGCCCACCCCGCGGCCCGTCCCCCATCCGCGGCCCGTTGTCGTGTTGAGTCTCGAGATGACCATGATGACTGCATGCAGAGTGCAGTGTAACCACCAAGCTGCTGCAGCGCTGAGCGAGGGATAGGAAGAGCACGAATGATCAGATTCAGAGATACAACGCCATATTTATGAGGTCTGAAGTCACATGATCCAAGGTATCGCCAGTCACTGTCGACGATCTGGCCATTCTGGGTTGTAGATGTGCTAAGTCTGTAGTCTGGACAGACTCAGTAGTCTACTTCTAGTACTACAGTGTTACTACTAGTACAGTGCTGGCAACTGAAATCCGACCCCCTTGGCCGCGCGCCGCGCCGCCAAGGGGGTCGGATTTCAGTTGCCAGCACTGTACTTGTACAGCAGAGACTGAGCGATAGCCATACCGGTAAACCATGGTAAACGCAAAACATAACTCGTTTTGTTGGCTTCGACTAGACTGGAGTAGATCTACGAGTCAGGTCCGCGGGCCGTGTCAGCTCACTCATGACGCAGTGATCATCGCGGTTCCGTGATTTAGGAGCGTCAGCCTCATTGCCAGGCCTGCGATACAGAGAGGAACACAGATCTGTACTCGCACTGGACCTTGATCATGATGAACAAGAAAGAAAATTAGGCACTTCAAGTTCAGAGCCAGAGAGGTGAAGACTGAAGGTGATCCATTCCTCTCTCCATTAGGATTATCCTGCGGCCTCAGACTAGATTGTAGGGTGTGTCCGTTCCGGACGCTGTAGCTTCTATAGCTCATCAAGATTACGGTCTGCCTCCCCCAGCCCGCTGAGCGAATACAAACGAACATGGCCATGCGAGGGCTCGTGTCGTACTGGAGTGTGGTGGCGTCTTGCCTGGCAGTAGCGAGTGTATGCAATGGGGCAGAGTGCCATGGAAAGGTCAGTTTGGATAACGAGCCACCAGGCGGACACAGTGTTTTTCCTGAAGTACTTCTTTGACGCAATTCATTGATGCCGCGATACTGATCTTCCTTCGACAATCAGTTTAATTTTGTTATCTATGGGCCGTCTTAGTAGTACTGTCTGACTGTCCTTAGATATTCTTCAATGATTGATAGTCCTCTTCTACACTGGGTCAAAAGTACACTAACAGTACGCTATCGGAGCGAATGTGTGTGTGTGTGTGTGTGTGTGTGTGTGTGTGTGTGTGTGTGCGTGTGCGTGTGCGTGTGTGTGTGTGTGTGTGTGTGTGTGTGTGTGTGGTGCATGTGCGTGTGGTGTGTGTGCGTGTGTGTGTGTGTGTGTGTGTATGTCAAACACAGCTTGCTTCTCTTTCTCAGACTCTTGACTTTTCTTTCCTTCTCCTGGGTGGTTACCAACAGCCAGTGCATGCCGTAGTATGTGGTTTGACGCGTGTCTGGGAAAAAAATGAAAAGACCAAAAAGTAGGGATTTACTGACCAGAAAACCACTTCATAGCTGTGTGGTGTAGGCCAGGCTGAATAGTGGTGGTCAAGTCTTCAGCCTTGCAAGCTGTTGAATGGTGCAATCCCAGCACAAGTTGCTATGGCTTCTGCTGTAGCATTGCTTTCATCGCCTCTGGCGATGGGCGTCAAATGATCAATGGTGTGTGGGGGGGGGGGGAGGGGGGGGGGAGGAGGGTGCGCGCACGCACGTGCTTGTGTGCATGGGCGTAATCGGCCTTATACTTTCCGAAACGACCACTTCCAAGACTTCACTACAGAACTTCAAATGTTACACATCATATCCTTGACTACCCCCCCCCCCCCCCAAATGTCTTCACATTTTTGTGTCCTATGTTCTATTCCCTTTTTGCAGCCTAATCCCAATGCCAAGCCAAACAATAACCCCATAGACGTGAGTGAGCCAGTGTTTGTGAAGAGTGTTCCAAATGGCAAGCTCTTTACTGTCGGAAGTGGAGAAGACATGTTTCATGTCGTCCATGTTTACGGTGAGAATTTGCTGCCTGAAATAAGGGTGTGTGTATGCGTGCATGCGTGCATGTGTGTGTGTGTGTGTGTGTGTGTGTGTGTGTGTGTGTGTGTGTGTGTGTGTGTGTGTGTGTAAGAAACCCACTTCAAACAGCTGTGTGGTGGATACCAGGCTAAAATTAGTGGCGGTCAATTCATCAGCCTTGCAAACTGTTGAATGGTGTAATCCCAGCACAAGTTGCTATGTCTAACATAGCTGTCCGCTATCATCGCTTCCGCGATGGCCATGTCTGAGTCTGAGTCTGAGTGTGTGTGTGTGTGTGTGTGTGTGTGTGTGTGTGTGTGTGTGTGTGTGTGTGTGTGTGATGTTAGACAATAGGCAACACCCAAAGCATACCACCAAACCTAGCACCACTGACACCTCAGCACCCCACTTTCTTGATGTTACTGTAAATATAGCTTGGTTAGCTACATCTCGTAACATTTGGTCCTTCCTCTCGTTTACCATATTTCCCCTGGAGTATAAGCCGCTCTGTAAAAGCTTGTCATTCACCTCCAAGAAATGGTCAGTGTGATCTATGCTGCAATGACATACAAGGTACAATGTAGATGTCTGAATTTCGTGACAAAAGATCTGGATGCGCTTATACTCCGGATAATACAGTACATTTAAACGTTCTAATACAGCCACAAGGAGGACTACTTGAAACAAATTTTTAAGCGTTCAAAGTGGTTCTCCAGTAGGCATACATACATTATCCATATAAAAATCACTCTGTGAGCGGTTCTGAAAAACCTTTACTGGTACTGCCCCGTCGTAAAAGTAAGAAATTAGAACTGGCCCATTGTCCCCCCAAATGCGAACTGATCCACCTAAATCGCGAATGACGGGACCCGAACGCACCAGTAGCACGAGGTCGGGAGGGCACAGGATCACGGCAATTATCATAGGGTAACACCAGTAGTAGTAGTAGAATTTATTATTTTGATAGGGAAGCCTACCGCTAGTACAGTACATGGCCTATGGTCCGGACCAACGTCCCCATCTGCATCCACAGGTAGGAACCTCGTGCTACTGGTGCGTTCGAGTCCCGTCATTCGCGATTTAGGTGGATCAGTTCGCATTTGGGGGGACAATGGGCCAGTTCTAATTTCTTACTTTTACGACGGGGCAGTACCAGTAAAGGTTTTTCAGAACCGCTCACAGAGCGATTTTTATATGGATAATTTCAGCTCTTTTTCCGTTCCCTCCCCACCCCAACCCCGAAGGTAAACATGATGACCACGCGCGCGATGTACTGTATGTAGCCATGCGACTGCAATAACACACTGATACATACCAGCCCTCCCCGCCTCGCTACCCCGCACACAGATACACAAACATGTGTATGCACACGGCACACACACGTGGCCACGCACACATATGCACATGCACACGGCACAAACAGGAAATTCTTCATGTATAATGCCATGCAAAGCAGTGGCCACCGTACTTGAGGAAGTCAGTTGGGAAACAAAAATAGTTCAACTACAGCGTGTAGACAAGCTGACGGCCAAAGCACAACATAGCAAACATGACATTTGCCCAAGGATTGCAGTTTGCAGACCATGCCATGGAAGCAGCGAATACAGAATGTAATATCATACAAAGTGACAAGCAAGGACGTGGCCATCATACACCAGAAACTTGCAGAAAGTCACATATCCAACAGATAGAGAAGTGAACAGCAATCTGATACAGCCCACACAGGACAAAGCTGACCTGATACTCGTCCCAGGATCGCAAGTGGCAAACCCTTTTCAATGCATAACATGCAGGTGTACGTTAGACGCATGAACATCTGACCGTGTGGCCAGCATACAATGTCATCACATGTTTACCCCACAAGTTACACACATGCACAGTAGAAGCACAATGAAAGCAATGGAAAAGTACGATGTGGTTGCTGAAGCATCTTCACACTTCAAATTCAGACTTCAATGTGGTCGTCACGGGATGATAGACCTGCAAGATACAAGTGATGAAGAAAGAAAGCAGAAGGTCGTGAGGTAGGCTATGAGACACCACAAACGGTTCACCTACATGTCTGTTCAGGGCTAGTGCACTCACACGGAGAATTGTCATAATCGAGCATTTCCCAAACTGAGAAGTGCAATGAAATCCACTTGCATGCACAGGAGCAATTTTGCAATATTATGATGCGCAATTCGACACGATCTGCGATGCTGCGTGCGATGTGCCCTGCTGTCATGATAGTGACAGTCACCGCGGTATGTTTTGTCAACGTCGCCCGTGCACTCTTCTGTCAAGTCCAAAGTGCTCACATATTTGGCAATGTTTTTGCAGTGATTAACTTTTATCCTAGTTATGTCACGGGTAACTTTAATGAAGTACCCACAGGCCGTGTCGATCTGCACATCGTCCACTCTCTCATGTACTTGGCCTGCTTTGTCTGTGTATCCATTTCATGTGCGATCCACAAAATCGACTAGACAGTGGGTGCAATACGCTCTCTACCTGAAGACGTTCTTCTGGCGACATCTCGCCATGTACTTGGCCTGGCTTTGTCTGTGTATCCATTTCATGTTCGATCAACTAAATCTCAATGCACTACAGAGACTAGACAGTGGGTGCAATACGCTCTCTATCTGAAGACGTGAACCATTACATTTTTTGGAAAAGTTATACGTACACCTGAAACGTAATGAAGTACAGGAATAGAGAGAGTGACTACAATACGCTCTCGACCTGATATAGTGATAACGTGAGTACAAGACACTCTCCACCTGATAACGTGTTAGAAGGTAACATGTCTACAGTCCCACCGTACCCTTCCGACACGACTGTGGACCATTAAATTTTTTGAGAAGTTATACGTACACCTTAAACGTAATGAAGTACAGGAATAGAGAGAGTGACTACAATACGCTCTCGACCTGATAACGTGAGTACAAGACACTCTCCACCTGATAACGTGTTAGTAGAAGGTAACAGGTCTACAGTCCCACCGTACCCTTCATCATTCCTCATTCACCATCGCGCGATACCCTGGCACACACTGGCAACATATCAATGGGGTGCCTTACCGTCGTCTAGAGGAGACGTCTTCGCAGCAATATTTTCCCTCCTGCGCATTCAGTCGCCGACACGACAGCGTTCACGGGGCCGCTCCAGTTGCGGAAGACATTCGATTCATCGGGCCAATTCAGAAACAGGGCCGTGGACACACAGGGGGCAGAGGAGAGACATTGTTAGTGGACAAGAAATATGCAGTGGCAAGTGGCGAGTGCCGCATGGGTGTCAAGTTGTCATGCACAATTCAGCTATTACTTACGGTCCAGCTAGTCCTGCCATTGCTCGCTCGTCCTGGTTCCTCCTCGTTCGTCTTCCTGCACGTCTGCACTTCTCCTTCCCCACCGTTGGCTTTGCGGTACGGGGGTGCCGGAAGGAATTCCCACCATGTATCCATGTACATGAAGTCCCACCATGACTCCATGTACATGTCCACGGCCACGTCAGCAGTTTGTATAGTACCGGAAGGAGTTCCCACGATGTCTCCAAAGGCCTAGAGCGGACGTCTTTGCAGCAATTCTTTTCGCCCTGCACATTCAGTTCGCCGACGATGTCTCCAAAGGCAAAGGCCTTGAGCCTAGTAGAGGGGACGTCTTTGCAGCAATTCTTTTCACCCTAGTACCCTGCACATTCACTCCGCCGACACGACAGCGTTTACGGGGCCGTTCCAGGTGCAAAAGGTCCACGTCGGCAGTTCTCAACTATTTCGCGTACGGGATTGTCGCCGCGACAGCGTTTAAGGGGTCGTTCCAGGTGCAAAAGGTATCCATCAATGGCACTTTGCAGTATGGGGTACGGAAAAGGGGCCTCCTCGTTCGACTTCGTCGACTTCTGCAGTTCTCCTTCCCGTCAGGGGTACCGAAAGGGGCCTCCTCGCAGTTGTCCTTGCCGTCAGGTCCACGTCATGCAGTTCTCAACTATTTCGCGTACGGGATAGTGGTCTTTGTCGTACGCGACATCGGCGTTTACCGAGTGGCATTGGCACAAAGCAGACCGTTGACGGGGTCACGTGTCAAAAAAGTGTCAACAACGTGTCGACTACGTGTCGACCAAGTGTATAGCGGTACACTCAGCGGTACACTAATTCTCGTGCCATTCTCGTGTCACAAAACTGGAACATCGAGTACCAGTATGGAAAGGCTTCAGACAGGAAGCCTTTCCAATACTGTCACTGAGTTCACTATCACTGTCTCTCCGGCACTGTAAATTCCCATATGCTGCAGGTGACCCCTATCACATGGGTTATGCTCATGGACAGTTGATGGGATCCACGGCTAAGAACTTCATGGATGATGTCTGGCAGTACATGGAGGATCAGATTGTAAGTGTATCCACACTGCAGTACAGGCAATACAGGCATTACATCAGGAGCGTCACACACGGTACGGCCAGTATGACCAGGGTGGTACCACTTTTCATCCAGGATGGTCCGCCCAGAGCGCCTGTAGAGCGCTAAAACGTGCCCAGTCGGCCGAAAAATCCGATTTTTCCAACACCCCCCCCCCCCCCCCCCATCGTACCACTCTCTACTGCCCCTCTGACACCCCTGTACATGGCATACATGCAGCTACTGATTCCTGCTGCTAACAGAGTTTTGCAAGTGGGCTCCCACATCCGAATCCACCTGATTGTGTCAGGGGCGTCGGAACCAGTTTAACATTGGTGCGGCGAAAGTGTGAGAGGGGGGTCCGGGGGTCCTCCCCCGGGAAAATTTGTGACAATTGGGCCTAAAAGGCCATATTTTAATGCTACAGAATAATATAAGAAGAATATGCTTGCTGATGATACACCGCATTGTCGATGTAAAACATGGTACCTGTATAAGAGTCGACAAGCCATCAACAAGGTTTCTAGGGAATGACTAGATCAAAAAGAGTAATGAAACACGTATTATGGAAACAACAAACGAGGCATGTAAGGTAAGAACATATGGAACAATGAAGCGCGAATTGTGGTTGCTGTTCTGAGCATTGACAAATTGACAAAGCAAAATTAAAACTCAGCTAAAACTTTCCGAATTTGTTTTTGACAATTGGGCCTAAAAGGCCATATTTTAATGCTACAGAATGATATGAGGAATAATAATATGCATGCTGACGATACACCGCATTGTCGATGTAAAACATGGTACCTGTACAAGAGTTGACAAGCCACCAACAAGGTTTCTAGGGAATCACTAGATCAAAAAGAGTAATGAAACACGTATTATGGAAACAACAAACGAGGCATGTAAGGTAAGAACATATAGAACAATGAAGCGCGAATTGCGGTCGTTAAAACTCAGCTAAAACTTTCCGAAAATGCCTCTGCGATACTCGCACTCTCCAACAAAGTCATTCCCAACTGTCTTCAAGTCCAAAGCATCGCAGTCTTCCTTGCGAACATGAAGAAGAGCACAGTGGTTGAGCCGTTGCTGCGTCATAGTGCTGCGCAAGTACGTTTTTAGCCGCCTTAGTGCCGAGAATGAGCGTTCACTGGTGGCATTAGTGGCTGGTGATATCAACAGCAGCTGAAGCAGGACGCACACTTCTGACAAGAACAACTGACGACTGGACAAAGACTGTACGTAATACACAATGCTCGGCACGGTCGGTGCACCATCACCTTCAGCAACAAAGTGCGCATGAAGGACTGACAGCTGGTCATGAAGGAGATCCGTCTGGATGTCATCCTTGTACAGTGAGGCAATGGCTGTTAGCTCTGTACTGTAGTCCCGCCCAGCACAGCCTTTGAGAAGAAGGTCTTCCAAATTCCAGTATTTGCGATAGCCTTCTTGGTCAAACCGCTGACGGATGGCTTGCACAACTGTGTCAACTGCAGCAAAGTACACAGGGCGATAGTGGGCCTCGACTGTGGCAGGGAATGAGGGAGCACCAATACCTTCTTGGAGCCTTGCTGGTACCTTCCTATTCCTCGGCAGTTGAGGTTCAGGCACGTCATTTGACTGCTGCAGCTCCATCACGCTCGACCAGAAAGCCTCAAAACTACTGTCAGTACGGAGAAGCAGGAGAGCGTCAACAGTAGCTTTTGCAATGGCTTGGCCTTCACTTGCAGACAAGGTGGCAGACTGCAATGACTTGCTGAGGTTATCAGCAAGAGATAGAACTTTTGCACCGAGAGAGACACCGAAGAGGAAGTCAAAATTCGCCAATTGACTCCTCACACCATTGCACTTCGCTGACATCTCCCTATCGTTCTTTGCAAGCTCGGTGAACGACTCCAGGCACTGTTGCAGGGTGCTGTAGTTGGTCTGAATGCTCTTCAGAGATGCAGCCCGAACTGTCCACCTGGTCGGACACAAGGTGCGGAATCCAGGTTCTTCTGGTGCAAGCTCAGCTTTCAGGCGCTTGTATTCAGCAGTACGCTTCGCAGAATACTTTAGGAGCTTGCTGAGCTCAAATGTGATGTCCATGGCATCCCTGACATGCTTGACATCACGGATCATGTCCTGACAAGCGAGATTTAGGGCATGCTCATAGCAGTGAGTATATAAGAGCCCTGGGCTCCTCTGCCAAGATCTGGGTGGCAACTCCTGTTCGACTACCTTTCATGGTAGAGGCACCATCATAACACTGGCCTCGACAACACTCCAGCTTGAGGTTCATCCTCAACAGGGCATCCTTGATTACGCTGACAATAGTGTCAGCGTTAGCCGTTGCGATGGCGTAAAATCCACAAAACTCCTCATGAACTTGGAGCTCCGAATCCACCCATCGAATGACAATTACACACTGCTCCGTACAGCTGGAGTCAGTGGTTTCATCCACCATGATGGCGAACTTACTTTCGCCGATACTGCGTGCAAGTCCACGAAGGATCTGGAGCGCCATCACCTTCAACATTTCGTTCTGCATATCGGCACTCGTGTATTTTCCCTTCTTCTTCTCTAGCCACTTCTGTAGCGATGGTTGGAATTCACTGAAGACGGTCAGGAGCTGGTGGAAATTGCTATCGACTTCACCTCCATCTTGCGATGCTCCTCGGAGAGGCAGCCCTTGTCGAGCAAGAAACTTGATGTTTCGAAGAATGAGGAGGAAATTCTCTCGATTCTCTTTACGGTCAGACGACAACTGTGAGTTGAGAAGTTCACCAACGTGACCAGTTGTCTCAGGAATTGTCACCAACTTTTCAACAGCCTCCTTGTGACAGTCGCTGGACTGGTGCTTCGAGAATCCTCGCGGACCATCCTTCCAGTTTTGAAAGCCAGTTGAAATAAACGCAGCGTCGGTCTTCGTATTGAAGAGGAGCTTTCCTCGAGCTGCCTTTACACACGTGAAGCAAAATACTCGTTCACGCTTCATATCCCAATGCAACCACGGATAATTGTCATACCAAGATGGCAAGAATGCACGGAACACTACTTGGCTAACTCCAAAGGCTCGCTTTGGGTAGTCATGCGACCTGGGTTGGAAAGGAGCATCTCCTATTTCGGGGTAACCATCCATCTCTTCGACACAGTAAACAATAGACTGCCTCCACTGGCACTGTACATGATTTGCCACCTCCGTCCTGAGTATTTTATTCATAATTATGGTGGTAAACACGCACCTGGCAATATGACGGTAAATACACACCGGACAGTAATTATACAACAGGAAGAAAGGAGATAAATGGCTGTGAATACAGTCTAATGTCGAGAAGACTAGCGGTGTGAAGGAGCCATGCTCGATTTCATTGACACGTTCACCATAACTACCGGGCATAAGCACGCTTCTTCTCGTCTTCAAACCTTCGGTAGAGGGAGGGGAGAGACTTGGACCGATAGCTTGACGCGTGAGGATAAAACACCCTTGTATCGAAGAATGCATGGCGGCTATCGGTCCAGAATCCCTTCACATTCCACCTCCGTCCATGCTCTGGTACAAAAGTTCACACAGTACAGCGTACCGTACATTTTTTATGCATGCATGAGATACCCCACACCTTTTCAGGCCTGCAAAAAGCGTAGAATAGATTTTTAGAATTTCGACTTCGAAAATTATTGGTGCGGCTTTGGCCGCACCTGCCGCACCGGTTCCGACGCCCCTGTGTGTGGCACACTATGCAGAGTATACTGTCTGGAGGAGGGCGTACTCACGGTCCGGGGAGGCGGGGGGGGGGGCATACTTTACGGGATGTTTTTGTTTATGTTATGTAGGAGAAGCAAGTCGAGTGCTCGACTGACTAAGTGGAGTTTGGTGTTTCTGAATTGTTCCAACCTTCCTATCTCTCTTCTATTGTACTTTGTGTGTCTCTGTTATCCACACAGGAGCAAGCTATCAACCAAACAGTGCCATACTTTCACGATTGGTTCCTGAAGGATGTAGCCAATTTCGGGTGAGTTCAATGATGAATACTACTGTTATTATAAACAATAATGGCTCCTGACAGTTTGATGGTTCTACGGTATGTAACTTCAGGTCAGAGTGTCATGACACTCCCAAACAACATAGCACATTAGCAGAATCATAGCTAAACTGTATTCAGAACTGCATTCAACTGTTTTCGGAATTGCTCAACTGTATTCGGAATTGCTCAACTGTATTCAGAACTACATTCAACTGTTTTTGGAGCTGCTCAACTGAATTCAGAACTGCGTTCAACTGTTTTCGGAACTGCGTTCAACTGTTTTCGGAACTGCTCAACTTTTTTCAGAACTTCATGCAACTGTTTTTGGAACTGCTCAACTGTATCTAGAATGTTGCCGTCATCTAGGCAAGTACTGAGCACACTGTCTTGTGACTGTACTGCTGTACAGGTTAGATGCGGCGTTGGATGCGGAGATTTTAGCTACGGACGCATTCTCTGGTTAGTGTCGGGAAGACTGTCCAGTGTACTTCGAAGAAGGTGGTGTTCTTTGATTCCTCAGCGTGAATGAGTCACTGCCATTACATGATTATGCTGCATCAGCTCAATCTCCGGACAGCTTGCTGTTTTGACCTTGCTAGGTCTCGCCAGCAGAGCTCAGAGTTTTTGGCCGGACCAATGTTATTCTGCCAATGCTCTGCAGTGTCGATGCACTGATGACCATGCACTTAGATGCTACTGTTGATTCCATAAAATCAGTGTACATGTGTATTATTACATCATGCACAGAGGCAAGGCGCCTCACTACATGACAGCATTTGAATTTGGTGACTTCCTTGTTGTGCATGCGTTTCGTAGGCTCATACTTCGCGGAGGAAATGAAAGGACTGGCTGCTGGCTGTGGCTCAGAGTTCAAGGTCAGTTGCGAGAATCCATGAGAATGTACTTTGAAGTATTTATTTCCAACGCAAGTCCTCAGCTAAGTGAGTACCTGTGCAGATTGGAATATGCATGCGTATGCACAGCTATTAGAGAGGTTCTGCTACACGGAACTACGTACCAAACTCCGTGTCAACTGCAGTGAAGTTTGACACGGATTTTTCGTACGTTGCACCGATTCTGCTGTACGTAGCATGCATGAATATCCCCAACATGTACTCTGTACGCTCAGTTTTCACACAGAGTCCAGTCCGTGTGAAGCGCGCTTCACACGGAAAACGGTGTGAAAAAATCCGTATGAAACTTGATCCCGTACCACGGCGAGGTTTCCATACGTACTTTGGCACGTTTTACCATGTGGCAGAACCTCACTATCAGCTGTTCTTTGTGCTATTAAACATCGATATGCTTGGGGACGAGTACCTGGACAGCTCCATAACAGGGATTGCGCATCAGTTCATGTCCCACTCACTGACTTCATGTGTGTTATAACCGGGCATGCCTGATGGTGGTGTGAGGAGTCTTCATTGGAATTGTGTATAGAAACACTCTTGTTGTGCTTGTTGCTTGGTGCGCTGCCTGATTCTATTGCAGAAAATTCAACGCATTCACATGATCGGGGAGTTGACGTGAGTACAATGCCGCACAAGTAGACGTAGTAGATACTGGTAGATCAATAGACCTTTAATCACAGAGAACCAAGTTTTGCTGCTACCAATGGTTTCATGTCCGTGGGTTTACCTAAGACAACTGATCTGTTTATTATGCTTTGCTGTTATGAGTATTGAGTAGGTCTCTGATTGACAAGTAATGGCGGAGTGATGTAGCTTGCATCTCAACCAGTCACCCTGGGCCACCGTTCATGTGTTTACTTCGTTGCGTTGAGTTGCGGTGTGATGTACGATCGGCTCTGCATGATGTGCACTGTAGGAAGGGTGACTGTTCCATGTTTGGCGCATGGGGACGGGCAACAGCCAGTACCAATGGCGGACTCTTGCAGCTCAGAGCTCTAGACTGGAATGTTGACGGTTAGTAGAGATAACGTCTTTCTCAAAGTTTCCTTTTTGCAATTTTACATTTCATGCAGCCGTTTTAGAGTGTGTGTGGCTGAGCATTTTCTCCTTATCACAACACTGAAGAAAATGTGGAACAGTCTCTCCAGTGAATATTTTATGACTTGGGGCTCCCCGCTTGCTAGTTTGTACATGAAGTGTGTGAGTTACAGTGAGGGCTGCGTCCCGCCCGCCTGTGTGAATCCACAGGAAGTGTGAGTTACGAAGTCTGAAGAAAATGTTGAACGGTCTCTGCTGGGATAATGGCTACACCTTAGCTCAGTGGTTAGAGCATCGCTGGCCTCAAGCGAGGGTCCATGGTTCGAATGCTGGTGGTGACAGTCAATTTTTTCTACAGACTTTTCCCGTTTGTGTCTTTCCCTCAAACCAGTGAAAGTCTCTCCTTGGGTGACAATTACCCTATTGCTTATTGGTAAAGCATTGCTGGCCATAGGGAAAGTCCTTGATTCCAATCATTTGTGGTAGCGGTACATTTCTCTTCAGACTACATCCCATTTTGCTCTCTCAAACAAATGAATGCTTTTAAAGCCACCAGTAGGTGATTGAAGCAATGCAACTCCACATCACAAGCTATGTGGAGAAATGAAGGTCTAGCCATGCTATGCCCTGTATTGCAGTACACATGCATCGTAGTTGCATACCCACACGGGGTAGTGTATTCCTATCCTTGGCCGCACTGCATGTTTTGTGCTACATTGTATGTGTGTGCAGGACCCTTCAAGAACTATCCCCAGGTGACAGTCTACCACCCGCCTGCTGATGGATCTCTTGGACATGCGTTTGCCAACATTGGCTGGACTGGCTGGGTCGGCTCTATTACCGGTTTCTCATCGGTTGACATGGCAATGTCTGAGATTGGTGTGACGTATCCGGACGACACATTCGGCAAGGATTCTAGATTTGGAGTGCCGTTCACGGTGAGCTATTACCAATCTGCTGGTGGTGCTTATTTATGTTTTATGGCTCGTGTTGATAATGTGATTTTGCACACTAGCAGGCTCAGTCTTCGTTGAGTGAGATAAATTCACGCCACTATGCATGCATCCTCTTACATGCAGATACAGCTTTCTACAGACGTCTGCTCTTTCATTTAGCGAATTTCAAAATTCAGTGATTCTGTAATGTAATTTACCGGTATCATTTTCTATTGTGTGTACACTGTGTGTACAATGTGTGTACAATGTGTGTACAATGTGTGTACAATGTGTGTACAATGTGTGTACAATGTGTGTACAATGTGTGTACAATGTGTGTACAATGTGTGTACAATGTGTGTACAATGTGTGTACAATGTGTGTACAATGTGTGTACAATGTGTGTACAATGTGTGTACAATGTGTGTACAATGTGTGTACAATGTGTGTACAATGTGTGTACAATGTGTGTACAATGTGTGTACAATGTGTGTACAATGTGTGTACAATGTGTGTTGCATTCTGTTCTACAGTATATAATCCGTGACATTCTCCAGTTCGATAAGACATTGGAGCACGCCATGCAGCGCATCAATGGATCTCGACGTACCTGCTCGCTGCTGCTGGGCATTGGGGATGGAAAGGTACGACTTGTATCTGCAGTGTGTGCATCTGCCATGACTGTGTGGGTGCCAAAGTGAACAGTATTCGGGTGCGGGATATATTCGAAAATTGTACTGGACAATGCTACTTGTATTATGGCTTTGTGTTCCTTTAAGGTGAGCCCAGCGGCTGTAGAATATTGCTAGCCTACTGCAAAGGTTCATAGTTTGAGGCCTGCCTGGTGTTTCCAGTTTTCAACTCCCTCAAATTGTGAACAGCAAATGTTTCCACATAACACTTACTTTTACCAAGCATGATGCTTATGCGTGTCATGCCACCACACATGCTGCCATTAAGAAACTGTATGTCTTCCTCTCGATTGCACAATAGATCAACCAGTTCCGCGGTGTGGAGTACTCAGCATCCGTAGCCAACTTCTTCACAGACACAAACTTGGAGCCGACGGCCACATGGCATCCGCGCATCAACGACACAGTGTACTGGGGTATGGACTGGCTATGCCCGGGCTACAGTCAGGTGCTGGCGGAGAGACTGCAGACTTTCCATGGCAAGCTGACATCGGAGGTCACCATCCATCAGATCTTGCCAGTTGTTCAAACCGGAGACCTACACGTTGCTGTGTATGACCTGGCCAAGCGTGAAGTCTACGTTGCCAATGCTCGAGGTGGACAGGAGACCGGACCTCAATACGCTTATGACAGGTTAGAATGTTAGACACATATGAATACTACAGTAAAACCTGTAACTTAAGACCACCGTGACTAGCGACCAGCCTGCTACTACAGACCACTTTGCCAGGCACGCACGGTCTCACATTCATATATATATGGTTGTGCGGTGCAAACCTCTAACTAAGGACCACCTGCCACTAAAGACCGCTTTCTCTGACCCCAAGGGGTGGTCTTTGGTCACAGGTTTTACTGTACATTAATTATTACTAGTCTAGGGGTTATAATGTTTCCTGACCACTGTAAATAATAGCATGAATGACTGTACAATGTGCATGGAAGCATTTTGCGGGCAGGGCCGGTCGGGGCAGCTCGAAGCAGAGTGCTCAATGCGCAAATGTGCAGAGCAGTTCACACACATGTATCTCTGACAAGCATGCACCACCACTTAGCAATGCTATGATAAGTATAGACTCCTGACAGTAAGCACTGCATAAGGCACTTGGAATGGACAGCTTCCTAAACATGTTCAAACTGAGAGGAAAGTCGTTGCCACTGTTGTAAAATGATGTGTTGTTTTCCTGTGTGATGAAATTCCCCAAACTGTCTTTGTCTAGTCACGTGCATGTGTGATATGAGCATGTGCGACGTTGTAGTCGACAGTACTTTTGTCAGTCATCTTGTTCGTCTCTTTGACTGTAGTCTTCTTTTCCGTCGTGTCAATAATAAAATGTAAAAAAAAAACAAGTCTTGTCCTTTGTGTCCTGCGTCCCGGGGAACGGAATGGCTGTTATTCCGTTACACCACTGTCCTGATGGTTTCCCTTTTCTACAACTTCAAACCTAAGTACCCCTTTAATGTTGGATTCCTCTCGCTAGCCCCTTAACAAGCTGTGTTTGTTACTGTGACCTCTATGGTGTATTCCAGAACGTTTGTCCGTCTGGACATGGAGACCCTATTCAGCGAGAAGGCCCCTACAACCAGCATTTAACCTAATATTTTCCTTTGATTCTTACTTTATGCGGGTTTCACGCGATTGACTTTGCGAATAAACCCGTTCTCAGCATCTAACCTATTGCGTATCTGGTCAGTATCTGCCTGAAAGAGCGACAGTGAACAACTCATTACCTTATAATACCAGGCTAGCATTAATTCCTGACATTTGATACCAAGCCAGCCAGGCTTTATGGGATCAAGCCTTCCCTGCTGTCCGGCACTAAAGTATAATGTTTAGCGTGATGTCTCAGTATCTACTAGTACTTACTGGTATTCTTACTACCGGGTAGAACTCTCCTTCTCTCTACTTTCCAGGTGAATCTAGTCGTGTATCTACCCCAACTGTTTGAGACCGTTTACATAGAAATTTCCAGATTTTGGATGTGCTTCAAGGCGCTTTGCTTTACGCTGATGACGCCCGATTTTGTCAAATTTGACTCTTGCTTATGGTTTTTTCTTTGAAAGACAATGAAATAGAACTCTCTCTCTCTCTCTCTCTCTCTCTCTGTCTCTCTCTCTCTCTCTCTCTCTCTCTCTCTCTCTCTCTCTCTCTCTCTCTCTCTCTCTCTCTCTCTCTCTCTATTCCTATTATACATGTAGATTGATCATAGAAATTCTGCACTGATACAAAATGGAAGTCTAACATTTTGCTGTGAACGGTATTTTACTTCTCGGCTGGGTTGACAGCTACGCCAAACTTGATTTGGTCGTGGACTTACCGCTCGACTATAGCGAGGGTCACTAGTTCGAGTTTTGTTTGGAGTGTGCATTTTTCATCTACCTTTCCCTTTTCACATTTCTCCAATTAATGCTACCATTACTGCACCTGCACATTGATTAAGTTAAATAGCCCAGTGAATGGGACATGTCCAATAATTCTCCGACTTACATGTGCAGGTGACTTCTTTGCTGTTGATTCGTCATGTTCACTTCATGCATGTAATAATGATTGCCCAAGTCACGTTTCAAGGACGGTCATTTCCTGGCGGCACATTTCGAGTTTGACGTTGACATTCTTTTATTTCAATTCTCCAAAAGCGACTGGATTACGTATACAAGGCGGTTAAGTTCCTAGAGAATGTTTGAGTCAGTCCCTAATTGTTACTGCATTCATTCAAGCTCCACACGTGTACGCATTGAGTGTGATTAATTAAGTGATTGCCAGCAGCTATATGTAATAATGTAGCTGTCTCTTGGTAGCCCTGGGGTGAAACTGGACAATACACATGTGAGAGGTAATCAACTAACATCACCTGATCACTGCTGAGCAATATCACCGAGTGTACCACTGAGTGAATAACTTGGGAGGTACATGTATGTACCACTGAGTGTATAACATACTATCATACTGACTGACTGACACGACAACCTTGTGTACTGTTTAGCCTTTCAGGCAATCTCTTCAGTGTCACTGTGTGCGACGTTACCACTCGGCCAGGATTGGAACATCTGCATGAAACTATTCTTATTGATCAAGTCGGCACAAAGGGATCTTCCCCTTTCCCAATAGTGCCTACTTGAGTGCAGAAGCAGCTGCGCGCTCTGCGGCGTTCCATGTGCTAGAGTTGGAATTGGTAGTGGACAATCGCTGCTGGACCATGCTACTGGGCATGGGTGTTACGGGCGTACACTGTAGATCTATTACTACTACTAGTATCTACATCGTAATCATATTCATAACGGATGGGAACGTCTGGTGTAGATCCAACGAGGCGAATTCCAAAATCACAGATGATGATTCTTCCCATCTACAGGTCCATATTCAAAGTGTACTGGGAACGATGAAGAATTGTCTTGATCGTTCCCAGTCTGCAGATGTAGATGTAGCATTTTTGGTACTCTGTCCTTTCTTGCCATGTGCACGCGTACAGCACGTTGGTAATTGGCTGTACAATGTACGTGCACCACCTGTACACGTTTCTATGGTCCAGGAGCACAATGTTATAATTGGAGCTACATCCCATTTTTCCGAGTGCATGTCACATGTGGATCTACCAGTACTGGCAGTAGGCAATACCCCAAGACAAGCACTAAACACAGTAGATTAGAGGCCATTATGTATATACAAATACATTGTACATGTACATGTATATACATAATCCATATACATGTACATAATACATAATCATAGGATACATAGCAGACTCAGCGGAGGATACATGTGGACAGTAATTATTGTCTAAGGTCCTCAGGCTGCGACCAGTGCTCTATGTCCAGTGGATGTACACACCTAGTAAACTGGGTAAAACTTAAAAGCAAATTCTAAACACCTACATTGTACATTCTACTCTTGATTAGGTACTGTGGAAAGAATAATTATATCCTAGGACTGCCCTCGTTCCCTGCTCCGACCCTACAGCATCCACTCTCTACTGCTTGCAGTGCCGCCCATCTCAATCGATATCTACATGTATGTCAGACTCTAGTCTAGATCAGATCATAGATCTTTGGGACACCGCTCTACATTGTAAATAGAGATCTAGATCATAAAGATCGCCAAGACCGCAATGATAGCCAAGTCGCTGTTCGGCAAGTGTGTGTGTGTGTGTGTGTGCGCGCGCGTGCGCGCGTGTGTGCGTGTATGCGCGCGTGTGTGTGTACAGTGTGTGTGTGTGTGTGTGTGAACTGACACAAACGTGGAGCTTGAGATATTCACACATTGCAGAATCATAGCGAAGTTCTTGTTAGCCCTTCGAGTAACATATGCATGTACGAAGTATATCGCACAAGGAAAGACGTTTCGGTCACCTTTCTCTGTGCTGCGACGAATAGTCCATAAGGGAAGAAGCAGTACTGCCACCAGAGTGCCGGAGTAACTCTTTGCTGCACCACTTCCTCGATGCTTTGCAATGAAGATGAAAAAGGTGATGGAAATTGACGTCCCTTTACAAACATTTGCATGTATTTAACGTGCACCCCTCAAAAGGTCCAACACGCGAACCACTAATGGAATTTCACGTGCCAGCACATGCATTGCGTTTAGAGAAACCTCTTGATCACGTGCTAGCAATGAACATCTTCTTTATTGTCCACGACCTACTAGTAGTAGTATGTCTATGACCCAAAACACCTCCCCCTCGCCGCTAGGCGCTGCATCTGCCACCTTGGTATTCTTATTCTCTTATTCCACGATGGCGTGACGCCAATAAGGACGATTGATAAGTGTGATAGAACTGATACTAGCCAGAAACAGCTGGATGGAAATTACCCGGGGAGGCAAGAAGCAATGGATCATGAAAAACAAGCGGGGTCAATAGCAGGGGTGATCGAGATAGTTAAATACACGTTCGAGATATCAGAAACCAGGGGTGGGGGGGGGGGGGGGTGCGCGGAGCTACAACAGGTACTGCTCAATAATAAGACTGGATGCATTGTTTCGGAAAGAAGTTCTACGAGGTTGGGTTGTGATGTCGATAGGGAGTGAGTTGTAGAGAGTGAGGGCACTGTTGATGGGGCAGGGGGAATCTCGGTGCCTGTTTGTGTGTGCGTGTCCGATGGAGTAGGTCCTTGTCTATCGAAGGGTGTATGGTTGGTGTTGACGTTGTGGTGCAAGATGCGGTTGTTGCAGGTGTGGTGGGGAGGTTTGGTGGTGGATGTCCCATGCTAGTAGGACTTGTTTAGCAAGGAGTCGTGAGCTAAGGGTGGGAAGCTTTACGTGATGGAGGAGGGAACTGTGGTGAACTGGTGCAAAGAGGGGAATCCGAAGGCAGATGCGTATAGCACGGCGTTGAATTCTCTCCAGTTTGTCCCGCTGTTGCTGTGTGATGTTGGAGAGGGCAAGGGCAACGGCAAGGGCAAGGGCAACGGCAAGGGCAAGGGCAAGGGCAAGGGCAAGGGCAAGGGCAAGGGTAAGGGCAAGGGCAAGGGCCAGGGCAAGGGCAAGGGCAAGGGCAAGGGCAAGGGCAAGGGCAAGGGCAAGGGCAAGGGCAAGGGCAAGGGCAAGGGCAAGGGCAAGGGCAAGGGCAAGGGCAAGGGCAAGGGCAAGGGCAAGGGCAAGGGCAGGGGCAAGGGCAAGGGCAACGGCAAGGGCAAGGGCAAGGGCAAGGGCAAGGGCAAGGGCAAGGGCAAGGGCAAGGGCAAGGGCCATATTCGAGAACGGGTTGGATGTAGGCTGGAAGCGTTCATTGTGTCACGTGACGTGGTGTCTTGTGGAGTTGGTGTAGTAGTCGGTATACCAGGCATGGCGGTGGCCTGACACAAGCGAAACTTCCTAAGCTGGTTGTGTTCTTCAACACTAGTATTCTATAGTCGGTGATAGCGCGAACGTGTGAACTTTACTTGTATGACCCAAACACCTCTTCTTTATACGCTCTTGCCAGGTAATTAGTTACTAGTGTGTTGCCACGGGGTTGACAGTACTACACACAGAGCTAGAGGGCAGCAAATCATTGTCATTCCAACGTCAATGAACGACATCACAATAGAATGCATACAATGTAGATTACCCACTAGAAAGAGCACTACAAGCTGTCATCATTAGCATCGCGCCCGTATTGTAATTACTGCGGTTACACATGTACATGCACATGTACACCGTCCTGCTGGATTAGAACTGTTCAGCAAAGTAACAAATGTCGAAGTGTTCCTCTGCAATCACAGCAGTCTATCACAGACATCGTGCACTGACTGTAGCGTCTTCCACACTACACCCTGCGTGGCATTGACCTTCAGAAGTGCATTTAGTACACAACTAGTCACTAGTGGCAGCACTTGTCTCGTGTTGGATTCCATTCTTATGCGTGATACAGTTAGAAACGATAGACACCTGAATAAGAGTCAAATATTTACAACTTAGTGAGCGAGTGTTAAAGGGGAAGTATACCCTAAAATCAAATTTTCACCAGTTGTAGTCTTCTGGGTGCTGAGTCGAATGGTCTTGGTCCGAGGAAGCTGCGACGCTCCCTTCCTACTTGAATCCCAATCGAACTCGCGCACTTCCACCGAAACTGGGTGACTGCGCCCTACTAGATGGGGATTTGTATGCAAAATGTCACTAAAAGCGCCATTTCGTTCTTATAAAAGCACGGATGACCGCGATTGGCCCATATGTTGTAGTCTTTTGGACGCTGAGTCGACTGGTTTTGGTCCGAAAAGGCTGCGATGCAGCGTTCCTCCTTTATTCCCAATCGAACATGGTTGAACAAGCGGTCACGTGCTCCTGGGTGCCCAAATCACCTGGTCACCGCGCCAGCAGGCGACAACTTTCACACCAAGGTTCAACTCGAGTTCATCTCGAGTGACAGGAGTGCACACAAAAAAGGTCAAACAGGCTAGTAAGTTGTACCCTGCAGGCACGGTGACCAGGTGACTGGTGTACGCCGGAGCACGTGACCGCTTCTTCAACCATGTTCGATTGGGAATAAAGGAGGAACGCTGCATCGCAGCCTTTTCGGACCGAAACCAGTCGACTCAGCGTCCAAAAGAGTACAACATATGGGCCAATCGCGGTCATCCGTGCTTTTATAAGAACGAAATGGCGCTTTTAGTGGCATTTTGCATACAAATCCCCATCTAGTAGGGCGCAGTCACCCAGTTTCGGTGGAAGTGCGCGAGTTCGATTGGGATTCAAGTAGGAAGGGAGCGTCGCAGCTTCCTCGGACCAAGACCATTCGACTCAGCACCTCGAAGACTACAACTGGTGAAAATTTGATTTTAGGGTATACTTCCCCTTTAATACAATACTAGGAAGACAATCAGTGAAATACCCAGCGACACATATACCGGTACCTCCCGTACACTTATAACATACTACCAGCAGGCAGCAGCCCTAACTAATTACTTACACGGTCATCCTCTCCTAGCATGATACAGTATGACATGTATCAGCAGGCCACGCCAGATCCTCTTGTTTTTTTCCCATCACGTGTGTGGTCAGAGATTGAATACTTTGAACTCCTCCGACAGTTCGTTTATGCGGTCTAATGCTATTTATGCGGTCATGTATTCCCCTCAAAACCCCTTCCCTCCAT